ACAGGGATGAGAGAGAAAAAAAGTGACTATTATTCTTTGAATATTCACCCACCATTGGCTTTAAGGCTTGGTTATAGTTAATGCTCAATGATTTATGCCAAATGGAGAACAGATATAGATAAATGCAGCCCAGCAATGTTTATTTATTCTTTTTTTTTGGTGGGAGTGGGTGGGGTGGGTGGGTGGTGTATAAGGACCATGGGTTGTGGTGCTGCCTTTATTATTCAATCAGGGCCATTCACTGCTCTCAGGAGCAGGATCCCTCCTGTGACAGACCTTGTTGATGGGTGTCAGCTGGCTGCATAGGGCCAGAGAAGCCTTCTACTCTACCTGTAGGTTGTTGATTCCTAAGTGGGAGACTAGCCAGGGAAAGTGTTCCAGTTCAATCTTAAAGGCTCTATGCACTTTAACGTTTTCTTAGCTTGCCATGTACTTTCATTCTATCAGGTCAAATAGGTTGAGCGCCATTTTCAGCTGGAGAAAATGAAAAGCAATGAAAGAGACCACCTAGCTCCACATAGGATATCGATTTAGTTGTCAGAGGTCAACTAACATCAATTACAAAAGTTCTTTTGCACCTTTAAGTTCCCACTTGGTGGGACAATCTCTGCAACATAAGCCACAGACACTTTTCATCAGGAACCTCAAACTACTCCATGGAAATAATCTCAGCGTTTAAGAAAGAGTGAAACTGGTGAAGGTGATCAAAAGGTCCAAACTTCCAGTTACAAGGCAATGAGTTCTGGGGATATAATGTGAAACATGGTGATTATAGTTAACCAGACTGTATTATATATTTCAAAGCTACGAAAAGAGGAGATCTTAAAGCTGTCATCAAAGGGCAAAAATTTGTAAATGTGTGAGGTGATGGACATTAACTAAATTCATTGTGGTGATCATTTTACTGTATATACATATATACACCCAATCATTATGTTGTGTACCTAAAACGAATACAATGTTCTATGTCGATTATATTTCAGTAAAACGGGGGGGAAAAAGGCTCAGGAATTTTAATTTCATTAAACTGATGAGACAACCAAGAAAGAAACTTGCAGCAGAGCCAAAGTCGAAAGCTGGCACAGGTCTCATTCATCATGACGATGTGGCTGACTTCTAGCAAGTCCGCTCCAGCAGAGTGTTCTTCTCTGCTTTGCTCGCTGGTACATATTGATGGTAGAGTACTATGAAATGTTATTGCACAGTCCACTGACCATGCTTTCTCGCATTTTGTCATTTTTGTGTCTCCAGTTTAGATCATTTCATGGCCCACACTAAGCCAAGAAAGCACAGGAGAGAGGGAGCTTCATCTCCCCCACGCACCACCCACCAGCATC